TTTGTAAGTGAGGTTGGGGGTTGTGAAGGGGGGTGGGGGTTAAGTAAGTGAGGTTTGGGATTGTGGGGGAGGGGGATTTGTTACATGGACCTAAAGACTGAGAAAGTGAGAGAGGGTGGTGGGGGATGAATGAAAGGGGGAGAGGTGGATTGAATGTAAGTGAGGTAGTGGTGGGGTTGGATTTGGCAAATGGGCTTAAATAGAATGAAATGTATTAGGCAGTCGGGCTCGCGACCAAAAGGTTATGGGCAAAGCTGTATCATGCATACTGCTTGAGCTATGGACAGCTGAAGAAGAAGAATGCGGACGGGGGTCGTTAGTGAAAGGTCATGGGTCAGGGGCCGGATGTTGTGTCTTTGGGGAAAGGCACTTTGCACAAATTTTCCTCACTTCACCCAGGTGGGAATGGATGGGTACACAGCTATAGACAGTGAAAGATCTTGTCAGTTTGTTAGTGTTTGAGCGCTTAATCAGCTGCTTGCACTGTATGGTTCCTGGGAAGCTGTGAATGTTTCTGAGAGTTCTATGGTCTGCTGGGGTATTGTTGGTTGTAAAGCATGCTGTAGAAGGTGATATGTGCTATTATATAAATGAAATTATTATGTAGGTGAGAGCATACACACATACTCTCTCACACATTCTCTCTTCCACACCCATGTACTCACACACATAATATAATATGTGCGGTGTGCTGACTTCTCTGAATCCACAAATGGAGATATTGGCCAAAAATCAAAGTTGGGGTCAAATTTGTAGATTTGCTGTTGATGCCATATTCTTTAACTATAACCTGTCTTTTATTATTTAAAATTTATAATTTGTAAAAACTCCTCCTATAAATGTGATGTATCTATTTCCATAAGGTTTGAATCCTAGAAATAACTCATTTTGACAGCACACTTCACATATGCTTGTACTTACTGTCACATACTCTCTCACACATTCTCTCTTCCACACATGTACACACACACATAATATAACATGCTTACACTTACAGTCACATACTCTCTCACACATTCTCTCACACACATTCATACTTACACATACACATAATGTAATACTTTTACACTTACAATCACATACTCTCTCACACATTCTCTCATACACACACATGTACACACACACATAATATAATACTTTTACACTTACAATCACTTACTCTCTCACACTTTCTCTCACACACTTATGTATACATACACATACACATAATATGATATGTTTACTCTCAATTTATAGACCCACAGTCACATGCACATGGTATAAATAATTAATGAGAACATTGTTATGACTTGTACATCGACGGTAACTTTTAAAATTTCCAAGCTGAAGAAGCAAAATTTTTCATTAGAGACAAAAAAAAACGTGATTTCATTCTTTTAACAAGAGTACCCACTTTATGCATCTTTTCTAGCATTTTTTGACATTTAGAATTTGTTGAATTTGACAAAATATTTCCTTAGCTCTTGTAACCAATACTACGGGTGGCTAAACTTCAATAAAAAAAACGATATTTTCACAATTTCGAGCATCTTATAGTACATTTTAACAGCTGGCTAATGATATAATGTATTTTTATTCTTGTTTTGCAGTGCAAGAGTCTCCGAGATCTTCGTGCTAGTCTGTCTTGGAGAACGTTATTATTCTGTTGATGGAATATTATATTCTGATTTTTCGACACTTTTACGGAACACACAGACTTCAAAGAGGAGGTGACAGTGAACGTACTTATGTAAACGCGAACTGTGCCCCTCTGAATCAGACCACCGATGTATATTTACGCGATGGCCATACCACCCATTCAAGCAAGTCCAGGTTTATTCAAAATTATCCATGTTTTTCGACTGCTTGTTCAACACACACGCTTCAAAGAGGAGGTGACAGTGAATGTTAAGGACAGTCCAGACAAGGCCATTGTTATCTCGTCGTCAGTCAAACGGAGTCATCAGTCACTGAAGGCTGCTCTCGTAACCCTACTTACTTTACTTTGACTTTTTCCTGCCAACTTTTACCGTACGGTGTCGAGGAGAAAAGCAAACATTTTTGTCTTCTTAAATTGTTTGTTGTATCGCCTGTTGCGTGCTATTAATGGCATTATTGTTTTTGTCAAATGTTTTTCTGACCCCCTCTATCCATCATTTCTTGTACTTGTAAGTGAGTGGTGGGGGTGTGGCGGAGGGGAGGGGGGATGGGAGGAGGGGAAGGGGGATGAATGTAACCATTTCCTGTTTAATTTGCCTGAACACTAACCCTACCGTTTCTTTTCTTTTTTTTGTTGCTGCCTGTCCGTCTCCCTTTGTCACTGCACTGAGTGAGTGACCAGTGTTGTGCTAGATGTGCTTCTCTTTACTTGAAGCTAACCCTTCTTTTGGAATTATATTTTTGGAGAAGGTAACGTTGTCTTCATAGATCTATTTCCTTGTGCTGGTGACAAATCAGTGATATTTCTCTGGCTGTGAACTTGCTTGGGGGGGTGGGGGGGGGGGGGGAGGAGAAAGAGCCTTCCAACCTAAAGATGAAAACTGTAAAGAAGTTATACTCTAATTTCATCACAGTTACTACGACTATGAGTAAATGTGTCACAATATGGTGGAATCAGGCGCTCGTCAATTTTGGGGTATATGGAGTTATTGGTGTCATCTTATAACGTGTTCATTTGTCTTGATGTTAATGACAAACCACCCATCTATCTTGAAAAAAAAAAAAGGTATTGGTAGTTGAAAGAGGTGGGAATTTTGCCTGGTGTCCGTGGAAAGATTAAATTAGCTAGAAAATGGCCTTCATAGTTTTGGTGACTTCCAAAGCCTGAGAGTAAATGAGAGTGCTTAGAAACTACAAATTACACTTTTCTGTGCCCATAAACATTTTTTAAAAAAAGAGTAAAATCCACACAGGAATGTGTTTTCCGATTGACATAAAGGAGTCGAGCCAAAACAAAAAAAATCGATAGAAACTGCCCAACGGATGGAAAATTACTGATTTCTTTGATTTCTTTATTTTGACGAGTGTCTGATTTCACCACGATGCCACACAGAATCATAAACGTGGTGTCTTGTGATACAAATTACACACGGCGCTGCAGCTTGTATAAAAATAACTGCTGCTCGTGTTTTCTAGTGATTTTGAGGAACCGAGGGCCAACTTCCATGCCTCGTCCTTTTGAGTAAGCGTTTCTATCTTGCATCTATTGGGGAACAAATCAATATTTATTGATATATATATATATATATATATATATCTATATATATATATCTGTATATATATATATATAAAATTATATATATTTGCTGCACACATTTGATATATGGGGGTTTGGGGGGGGGGGGGGGGGTTCCTTGATTTGTGTCACGACGTGGTGGAATCAGGCTCTCGTCAATTTTTGGGTGTGGGGAGTTATTGGTATCATCTTAAAGCTTGTTCATTTGTCTGGCTTTGGATGAAAGAAATACCCTTTTATCTTGAACAGAAGTTGAGACATTTGTGAATGAAGGAGGTGGGGTCACCTGGTTTCAGAGGTAAAATTCTTCAGAAAACTGACTGCCACCAAAGATGAGTTATTTCCTTAGCTTAAGAGCCCATGGAAACTGAAAATTTACATTTTTATGCCTTTAATAAACGTTTTTAAGTAAAATCCGCACAGAAATGTGTTCTTTAATAGGCATGAAAGGTGTGGAGCCAAAGAGCAAAAATTCAACAAAAATTCACAAACCCGTGGAAAAATGCCAGTTTCTTCACTTTGATTATTTTGACGAGCGCCTGATTTCACCACTGTGCCTCACATTTGTCTTTTTTTTTTGTCCAGTACTGTTGTGAGGACATGTAACTTTACTTACTTTTTACTTTTCCCGGCCTCTAAATGGAATAATTTATTGTGTGGAGGGGAGAGGCAAGCGTCTTTCTCTCGTTTGTTGTGTCGCCTGTAGCATGGTTATGTTGTTCTCGACTAATGTTTCCCTGAGCCACCTCTGTCCATCTTTTCCTGGATCTGCCCCTGTGCAGACACAGTCATCGGTAGATTAAGATGGTTTGTGGTTTGTTTCGTAATGATGTCTTTGCTTTTTATAGTAGACTTATTCCAGTTTCAAGACTTGTGGCTGACTGAAGTGTATTTAGGCCATTCCAAAAGGGGGGACATTTCTCGTTCATGCACAGTAGAATTGTAAATGGACTGATTCATCAATGTCACGCTCATAACTGTGCCTGATCTACAACAGGGAACTGCTGCTTTTTCTTTCCTAATCCTTACTATTGTCATTTTTCCTCTACTTCTTTTGTATGTTTGTCACTCTCTTGTGACCCGCTATTCCCGGGGTGCCTTGATAGTCGAAGCAGACTTTGTGCTGTTGAAGCTAGAGAGGTGAGCAGTGTAAGCCTGATTCCCTGTAAAGACTTCTCTGTTGACATCCATCCCTTGGCGCTCATATGACCGTACGCAGTTGCGAGCGCCGTAAAACCCTCTACTATAAAAATAAATATCAATTGTGGAATATCCTTTGAGAGACAAGATCCGGGGCAAAGAACTTCATGTGTTGTCTGCGTATCGCTAAAAATAATAGTTCACCCGTCAATGTCTGACGATGACCAGTACATTCGCAGAAGAGAGTATTTCTTATTAATAAAAACAGAAGATGTAAGCATTAAGATGATTTGTGGTTTCTGCTATGGCTGATAAGGCCAGTTTTAGCGGAGAAGAGTCCCACAGTTTGAGCTGTTTTAAGTATTAAAGCTTCTTTTACATTAAGGGAACAATATGAATATTTATTTATATATTAATGAATAATTATATATTTTTGCTGTACACTGTTTATATTTCTGGATGGAGGAGGGGAGTGGGGTAGGTGGGAGGGGAGGGCTGTTGGTGGGTCTTTTTTTGGGGGGAGGGGAGAGGGGAGGCAATGACACCAATTCTGGCAGAGAAGAGTTTGCCACATGACATTTTGTATCATTACTGTGTCTATCTTGCTCTTCAGGCATCTGTGAGGCATTGGATAGGCTGTCCCCGGGGTTTAATTCACCCCGCATTATTAAGCAAAATTTGATAAATTTTTACATAATTTCCGATTATTTTCCTTTATCATTCTTTGTTAAAATTAACAGAATCGCATAATTTCACCTGTTTGGGCTCAGTTTGCATAATTTCAGAAATATTTTTGCATAAAACCGCGGGGACAGGATAGGGAAGATATTTATCAAGTACCTTTCTCTGGTGTTGACCAGATGACAAGGACATGTGGTTACTTGAGGGAGGCATTGCGCTGCCAAGAGCGAAATGCTTGCAGCTAAGGGGATTTGAAAACAACTACAACAACATTATCAAGTATCTTTTTTTGTGTCTGCTGCAATGTTGTTGTAGAAGATATTTATCAAGTATCTTTTTGTGTCTGCTGCAGTGTTGTTGTATCCCACTCATTCTGAGTTGGCCCTGACTTGACGTGCTGGTGTGAGTTGAAGCAGCCCGTCTCCTGAATGATGTTCTTTGTGTGGTTGGCGGGTGCTCTGGTGTGGTTTGCTTCTTCTTTCCTATCAAACATAGATCTATCGTCCTTATCTCCCCTCCTTCTTTTTTATGTTTGTTACTCTCTTGTAACACATCTAATCTTCTGGCGCTCATATGACCTTATGCAGTTGCGAGCGCCGTAAAACTTCTACTAAATCAAACAAGTACTTTGTGTCGTTGGGGTGCACGAAGAATTATCATCAATCATTCCTCGCGCTGATTTAAAAGTTGGGACGAGCCGTCCCTTTTCCGAAGTATTTGATTTAAAAAGAACAATTTTTTTATCTTCAAATGTTGCTTGGCCTGAATGTTGGTTGCCAGGTTGCCATTCTTGTTACATTTCCGAATCTTTTGATTCTTTGGTGCTGGACGGGTGGTTGGTGGGTGTTCCTGTGCGGTTTGCTTGCTCCTTCTTTCCTTTCAAACACTGATCGCCCATATTTCACCTCTTCCTTTTCTTGATATGTTACTCTCTTGTAGCAACTTTAATCTTTGGTACTTATATGACCAATTTTTGTTGCAAGTGCCGTAAAATTTGAACTATAAATAAATTTGGTGCCTGATGTATTTTAATTGTACTTGCGTTGCTGAGACTGTGGCTTGAATGTCCAGCCTGTGTTGCAAGTGCTGTAAAACTGTTACTTAACTAAACTAAGTCTCGTTACTTGTGCAGATCAAGGACAGTGTAGGCTGTGGCTTGCATATATTTCAGTTCCTACATAATTCGGAATACTGATTTCTCTGTATCTTATCTTACTGGTTAAAAAATTTGTGATAAATAAGTGTTTATATGTCCAGTAAGTGTTCATTCATTTATGCTACTGTGTCATTGCGTGACGATTTTGTGTCTTTATGTCCAGTAAGTGTTCATTCATTTATGCTACTGTGTCATTGCGTGACAATTTTGTGTCTTTATGTCCAGTAAGTGTTAAGTCATCTGAGATACTGTGTCGTTGTGTTTACAGTTCAATATGTGTGTCAATTATCTGTGCAACTGTGCTGTTGTGTGACGATTTTGTGTCATAATGTCCAATGTGTGTCAATTATCTATTCTACTGTGCTGTTGTGCGACAATTTGGTGTCATGATGTCTGTGTGTCAATCATCTATCTTACTGTGATGTGTGATGTCCAATACATGTGTCAATCATCTATCTTACTGTGATGTGTGATGTCCAATACATGTGTCAATCATCTATCTTACTGTGATGTGTGATGTCCAATGCATGTGTCAATCATCTATCTTACTGTGATGTGTGATGCCCAATACATGTGTCAATCATCTATGCTGCTGTGTTGTTGTGTGACAATTTGGTGTCATGATGTCCGTGTGTCAAACATCTATCTCACTGTGGTGTGTGATGTCCAATACGTGTGTCTATCATCTATGCTGCTGTGTTCGGGCGTGCAATAAATGTTGAAACGTCCGTGTGGTGAGTGTTATTTCACCAGTCTGTAAAAGTGCGGACTGCTTTATGTCGGTATTGATAAGAAAAGACTCTTGTCTGTGGAATATGCCGTCATTGGGCGACTGACTGTGTGTGTGGCTGTAACAATTTTTGTCCGCTCAAAGTTCCATGGCGTGGGTACTTGGCGGGTGCTCTAGTGTTGTTTGCTTCTTTTTTCCTTTCAAATATCTATCGTCTTTATCTCCCCTCTTTCTTTTTTGTGGCTGTTACTCTCATGTAACACCTCTGGTCTTCGACACTTACATGACCTTATTGTGTTGCAAGTGTCGTAAAACACTTTCTAAAACAAAATCGTTGGGTAACTGACTGATTTAGAGTAAACACACAGGAAAATGTTTTACATACAAATAAATACATGAGTAAATAAGTAAAAAAAAAAAAAAGAAGGTTTCTTCACTCTTATAACGTTTTTTGGTAAGTTACACGTCGTAAGTGTTGCCATATCCCCAACTGGAGATGGCTACCACAACTGGTTAGTAGTCGATTGTTTAGATCATGTTAGTGCTACATTCCTCAGCTCGTGGGTGGTTGGCGGGTGCTCTGGTGTGGTTTGCTTCTTCTTTCCTATCTAACATCTATCATCCTTATCTCCCCTTCTTCTTTTTTATGTTTATTACTCTCTTGTAACACCTCTATTCTTCTGGCGCTCATATGACCTTATGCAGTTGCGAGCGCCGTAAAACCTCTACTAAAACAAGCAAATAAAATTCCTCAGCTCTTTTGAGTGTTGAGGTGGGCACCCTCTGTCCCGCTCCCGCTTTTTTTGTTTGTTCGCTTAGCCATGTTTTCTGTTGAGAGCTATTGCTCAAATAGTGAAATAAGCCTCCTACAATGGGGATTCTCTTTTCTTTGGTTTGCCGCTGTTTTCGGATTGACCATGTTCGGTTTAAGCCTTACTCATCAACTGTATATAGTAATAATTTTATAACCCATGCGAGATAGACGTGTGTATATTAGAATTAAGTTGGGT